TGAACGGTTAATTTGCATTATAGGGTGAAATTCCCAACTCTTCCATTAAACCATGTTCATTGTGGCAATGCACAAAGCCATCATCACTTTGAAAGTATTGCAGATATGACCTTTCTGTTGATCGAAAGTAGGTATAGTGTCTTCTTAGGTTTTTTTTTTTTTTTTTTTTTTTTTTTTTTTTTTTTTTTTTTCATGCAATCTTAATGCTAACAGCTCTGAAGCTTTTTTGGATAGTTCTAAATCATTCAGCTCAGGCTGGTCAAATTTCGTATAAATGGCATCATCTTCAATTTCAAAATTTTCCTCGTTGGGAGTCAGTTCGATAATCATCAGAATTGTATTCTTTTATTTCCAAAGAAGGTAATTTTTTTAAAACTGGTACTGGGAAATCAGCTAAGTGAACCACTGGGCATGTAGCTGATAGTAAACTAGAATATTGTATTTTACATTTGTTTACCTTGTTATTTCCTGATGTTTCTCACTACATAAAAGTAACAATCACTTGAGTGAGCTTTGCGCTCTTGCTAAATCATAGGTATACCAAATGGAAATTTAAAACATCTTCCCTTCATCCACATCAGGGTTTATGTCAGCCAGTAGGAGTATTTCCCATGAAATACCAGCATATTTATTTAATTCTAAAACAGCTCAAAAATCAAATTCAACAGAAACTGTGTTACAAATTGTTCCCCAGTGATATCAGAGCACTGCAGAAATTCAGCATCAGCTCATAAAGAAGAGTATTAGATATGATTTTCTAAAATGAGACCACCTTCACAAAAGATCAAACTCCTCTGGAATCATAGGTGGTCATCTTAGAGAAGGTGTACAAATTTTGAACTATACTAGTGTGCCAAACTTAAGCAACAAATTCATTTTTCAACATGATGTGAACAGAGCTGAAAAAGACTTATTGCAATCAGTACAGTGAAAAGCTAAATAGAAAAGAGCATGTGTATGCTGATAACAGCACCATGATATCAAAGGATACATCAGGGCACATATAACATAAGGAGTCAGTTCGTGCAGTGTAAGGCAACTTAAGAGTAAGTAAGAAAGGCACGTTTCCAAGCATTCTTCTGCAACTGAAAGTGAGATTGTATGGCTACAAGACGACATCAGGAGGCCTTTACGCATTGTACAATGATTGGCAGTCTTGAGGAGGGGCATAGTTTGATGTGTGTCGCCCATAGTTCGGATTCAATAAAAATTGTTGTTTCATGTGCTTAGAATAAAAAGCCTTCCAAATGGCAGGTACAGCTGTAAGAAAGGTTGGGCGTGGTCAGCGAAGGAAAACAACAATGACTGATGGCTGATATATTGTCTTGTAGGTGAAAAGAGATCGAAACCAGACAACAAGCAGCATTGCTTAACAGTTGTACAAGCAACAAGATGACAGTTGTCTCTGTTTACTTGGCCAGATGACTTCATGAAGGTGACCTATTCACCCACTATCCTGAATGCTGTATACCCTTGACAGCACCTCATCAGGGGCACCGTTTTTGGTGGTGTAAAGAACACTTCTTTATCAGTGAGAGTCATTTCAGTCTGACAAATGAATCTCGGCCCCATATAATGTGGAAAGAGGTAGGATCAAGCTTTTATCCCACTAACATCAGGGAAAGAGACTATTAAGTTGGTCCCGGCATGCTTATATGGGAAAGCATTGTGATGGACGGAGCTCCACATTTTTGACAGAGGCTTTACTGGTGATCATTACTGGATGAAATTATCCTTCCTTGCATTTTTCCAGGAGAGCCACTAGTTCCAATTTTGTTTTTATATTCCAACTTTGTTCTTGTCATTGGCAGTGTGTAGCCAGAGCTTTTGCTTCCCACGGCAATTCTTTAGTTTATCACTTGGGCAGTATCTGAATTTCCACTTATGAAAATATCTGTTTTAATAAATGAGAAAAAAAGAGTTAGGGAAAAAAGATAATTCAAACAAGAGGATGGGAATAGCAAGTACTTGATTATGATATACACACATGGCATGTATATAGTTTTCCTTAATTTTGTAATTATAGTGAACCTTCTCTAAGATGACCCCCTATGATTCCAGAGGAGTTTGATCTTTTGTGAAGGTGGTCTCATTTTAGAAAATCATATCTAATACTCTTCTTTATTTATGTTCTTAGAAATATTGGTCGCTTCTCAGGTGGCTACCACAAGAAAATTTGCTATATATTTAAAAATGTATATATGCTGAAAGTTTTTACTAATAGCTTTTCAGTACACACTGTCCGTTAATTTATCTGCTTATGCATAAAAATTCCAGAAATTAAGAAATTCGTATAATTTTGTGTTGATGTTGAATTTTTGCTGAAAAATTTTCTTTTAATTCTATGATCTGTATCATGTGATACCTGCAGGAAGGTAACAAAAAACCTTTCTTACAATAAAACCTTCTAGCAACACAAACATTATAACACTGATAATAGCTGTACTATATAATTGAAAAATTAATAACTGTGGGAAATTTCATACCACCTGTAAGGAATATTTTTTACATGGTTTTGCTGATAAGAGAAGATTAGATAGTATTCATTTGAACCTTTTAATACAATTTTTACCTCCTTTTATTTTTTTCTTAAAACACTTGCTGAGCCTGTTTGACAGTGCTGGGTTAAGCTCATTTTGGGCCCTGGGCTCAAAAGATCTAAGAGCCCCCCTTGGCACTGGCTGATCCAAGGAGGGCTTTTGGATTTGCTAACAAATGAAGCAAAATTTTAATGTTTAATTTTTATTGTAAAAATATGTATAAAAGTAAAAAACAAAACAGTATTCTTATAAAAAAAATGATTGGATCCCGCCTATCCGGGCGCCCGCCCCAAGCACCCAATGATAAACCTGCATTGCTGTTTGATGTCATTCTTTGTTGAAAATCATTGTGCCCCACTAGTACACATTTTTATTATCTCTCAGTATACCTTGAATGAATCCGACTGAAAGAAGTAAATTTTTACTCAAATTTCATATGGATAATTCTTCTAAATATGATGGCTCTTCTCATAAAATATGTGCATTGTAAATTTCTGTGAAATGTCATATCAAACAGAAAACCAGTATGAAAGGAAAAGGACTGGGCTCTAAAGTTTAAAGTATTTTATTCTCTAAAGTTTAAAGTAATTACTCAAAAGTATTTTATTTTACTTTTGTAACTATCAGAAGTACATTTATTAAAAGCCTGAAAAATTGATCAAAATATATATTAATATTAAATCAAAAATTTTAATTAATGTGTAGTAGTTCTAAATAATGCACTCTGATTTTCTTCCCTCATTATTCAGCATCTTCTCAGTTCTTAAGCAAAAATCATTAATTCTCCAACTTTTGCAAAATATTTGTTTAGATAATTACATATATGTTTTATTGTAGTTTATTGTTAATATATGTAAAAATTTTATTTTGATTTTTGACAATGCTCTAATCATATTAAATTGACAATGTGTATCTGAAAGTTGTAGTTATTATTTGTAGTCAACAAATTATGAGATTTCAGGCTAAGTGTGAGTGTGTTAGTTCTTAGTATTTATATAATACAGTCAAAAGTCGTTAATTCGGGCACCCATAATTCGGAATGATCTATAATCCGGACCTCAAAACTAAAAACTTTCTGCACATGCGCCGCGTTGACACATGCGCATAGGCGTTTACGCGTGCGCGTAAGACCTTTTACGACTGCGCATATGAGTGTGCGCAAGTGCAGAATACGTTTTCGCGTGCGCGTTTTATGTATAATGGACATATAAGCTAAAATTATCTAATTATCTATTTCAGTTAATGTTGATGATTGCGTTGTTCCTTAATTTTCGAATTGGATCCGGCTTATTATTTTTTGCAGACTGTAAGAGCAATTTTATAAAAGTAAGCTTAAACTTTCGATTATATCAAATAGAATTTCCGATATATATTGTTAATATGTAAAGGATCTAAAGCGAAAGTATGTTTGAAATCCGAAATCTGTTTATCAATTTCACGCTGCTCGGCGGGGGGACGGGGAACGCCGCGGCGGGAGCGTAATGAATTGGAAGTTGATCTGTCAGCACTATCCTTATCTTCAGCGCAGATGTTTTTATTTTATTTGGCTTATAATTCCTTACCAAATGTAGTATTTCATCTCGATATGCTCCGTCTTTGATATGATTTAAAACAAGTTCCTCGTCATTATAATTCGCTTCCGATAGCGAAGAAAAGTGACAGAGGTTATTGAAAACGAAAAAAATTCGATTGACAAATTAGTCGGTGTTCTTGACACAGCAATTATAGGACTTGAACAGCGGAACTTTGTAACTGAACAAGAAATTATGTCTGTTTAATAGAATTAAAGAGAAAGTATTATCACATGAAACGAAGCAAAACTTAAACAACTTACATTGAAAGAAATGTTTATTTAAGTAAACAAATAAATATTAAGCTTTTTCTTTTTGCAAATTTTGATACCCTTTAGATCATAACTGTTCTTTATTTCATAAATTACGGTTTCATATTTTTAATTTTAGAATTTCTGCATGCCATCTTACGAGATTTAAACTGATGATCTATAATCCGGAATCGCCGAAGTCCCAACGAGTCCGGATTAACGACTTTTGACTGTATTTGTCATCATGTAAATAACTCATTAATATTGAATTTCATCTGTAAAAATAGGGTGAACTTCATGTATATTAAATTTAAGGAGTGTAGAAAAATAACAAACAGGTGTAAATAATTATTTTTGAGCTAATTACGCATATTAGTTTTTGCACTGCTTCTATATTTTTGTTCTGTAAGGTTGTTGATTTAAATTCTTTTTTCGTCAAGTTTTTGCTTTTCTTATATCAACATAATGTAAGAGCATTAATCATTAATAAATAATGAGTATATTATCTACTTAAATTTGAGTTTGAGTGTGATTTTGAGATTTTATATAGAGCATGTGTTATATTCAACAGCTTTTGAAACTAGTAAATATGTATTATGTAAAATAAAGTTTATTCTCTTTTAAAACATGCTTCAAAGGCAGTCAGCAGTGGACTGAGATTCTTCGCAAATTTGAAATATTAAGCATTATTTGGGATATAGCTATTGAAGGAAATCATGATGGTCCAATTAAAGCATCTGCTCTTCATGTTATTATTGAAGCATGCTTACAGATACAGTTTTGGGAGGATATAAAATCTTTAAAGAAAGTCACAGAAGTAAGTTTTCTTTAACTCCAATGTATACTATTTACAGTCATGTGGTAATCTAGTTACTTAGTGAAAAATAAGGAATGAATGCTTTTCAAATACGAGGCACGTCCAGAAAGTAAGTTCTGTTTCAATTTATCTCCGCTGCAGCTCTGCGATCGCAGTTCCGCACATGCGCAGTAGACGCTCTGTATCAAGAAAGAAGAAACGTGCGCCATTTGGAGCACGTACGCTTTGTTGTGCTTGTTTACAATGTCGGTGTTGATTGAAAATCCCGCCGCTTGTGAAATCAGATCTGTGATTCGTTTTCTGAATGCGAGGAAAGTGAAACCTAGTGAAATTTATCGGCAAATTTGCGATGTTTACGGACCAAAAGCGATGATTGATTCAATGGTGAGAAGATGAGTTCGAAAGTTCAATGACGGACGTAGTGATGTGCACGATGAAGAATGAAGTGGGCGTCCATCTTTGGTTACAGAAGAACTGGTTCACGCGATTGATGACAAGATCCATGGAAACCGAAGGTTTACACTTAGTGCTCACGCTATGGAATTTCCCAAATTTCACGATCACTAATGCATGAAATTGTTACCGAAAAACTGAAATTTCGTAAACTTTGCTCACATTGGGTACCAAAGATTCTTACTGAGCAACACAAAACAAAACGGATGGGTAGTGCACTTCAGTTTTTGACCCGTTATACTGAAAGCGGCGAAGAATTTCTGACACAGATGGTCACAGGAGATGAAACTTGGGTTTCTTACGACACCCCTGAAAGTAAGCGGCAATCAATGGAATGGGGGCACACTTCATCCCCAGCAAAGGTTAAGCCGAAGCAAATCTTGACACCTCGAAAAATGATGTGCACAGTGTTCTGGGACTTGAAAGGCATCTTACTCATTGATTTCTTACCGCGTGGTCAAACAATCAGAGCAGATGCTTATTGCGAGACACTTCGGAAATTGCGCCGCGCAATACAGAATAAGTGCCGAGGATTGCTGTCAAAAGGTATTGTTTTTCTTCACGACAACGCACGACCACACACTGCAAATGTGACGAAACACCTCCTACAGGGATTTGGCTGGGACGTGTTTGACCATCCTCCGTACAGCCCTGACCTCGCTCCTAGCGACTTTCATCTGTTCTTACATCTTAAGTCTTTCCTTGGCAGTCAACACTTCAACAATGACGACAAGCTGAAAGAAACTGTTTCCAACTGGTTGAAGACACGGCGGCAAATTCTATGAAGAAGGTATACAAAAACTTGTGCCACGCTATGACAAATGTCTGCAATATTTCGGTAGTTATGTGGAAAAGTAGTTTAAGAGTTGTTGAATTTTGTGCAATAAATTTTCTGTAGCTGTACACAATTTACTTTTATTACCAAATGGAACTTACTTTCTGGACGTACATTGTATTTAAAAAATTCCTTGGCTGAATTAAGACTTTTAGAGGTTCTAAGCCTTTAAAGAAGTTTGGTGCCTCCATTTTCATTTACAGTGTAGTGCCTCTTTTCTCCCCTTCTTTCTCACTTGGTATTTGTTTAGCTGCATCAATAATGGTAAAACCAGCATTGGGAAATTTTCATGGTGCCCCCTTAACTTAATACCATAAGCAGATACTTATTTTGCTTAATGGTTAATCCAAGTCTAAAAAATATGTAATGTACTGATTTGTTACAATTAATTAATTTAGTGCTTTGCTTGCTTGACTTCATTATTGTAAGAGATGTGATAGATGATATCTGGCTGGAACTTTAATATTTGAGTGTAAATTGGTTGATGTACAGGTTCGTACGGTCCTTAAAAGTCCTTAAATTTTTTGAAATCCATTTTTGATCCTTAAAAATCCTTAATTTTGGCCAAAATCAGTAGAAGATCCTCAATTTTAATCATCTGAAATTTCTCTCTGTTTTTACGACTGCTATTTTGAGTGTGAATTAGCATTTTGGAGGAATATTTTTGGCAATTCACTGATGTATATATGGTTATCTTTTGAATGGGTTCATGGGTTATAATTTGTTTCTATTTCTAATATAAATGATGGGATACTCGAGTTTCTAAGCAAGAAGTGAAACATAAGCATTTCGAAATTCATTTTTTCTAATAAAGAGCTCATAAACAACTTTTTGCTTTTGGGGTTATGAATTCTTTTATTAAATGGTTCTAAATTTGACAACTTGTCAACATTTTGGCGATTTTAAGATCAGTTTCTATTGAGAATTTTTCGGCGATTTTTTTAAAACATCATAACATTGATAAATTTCATTAAAGTAATGGTAATATATTAGAATTATATTTAAAAAATAACATTAAAATAAAACATTTTTATTTTGCGCTGTCATTATAAAGTTTCATTTTGGCATCTTACTATACAATATTTTAAATCTGAAAAATAAACAAGTTATATAGCTATAAAGGATAATTTACGAAACCACTCTTAGTAAAAGCAAAATTAGCTATGTAATTAATTAAAATGTCTTCTTTTTAATTTTTTCATAGTAAGCGTTTTTCCCATGTAATTGTCTCAGATTATTCAAAATTCTCAGAATATGCATTAGTTTTCTCTATAAAATTAATTTTACACTTTTTCCTTCCCCCCCCCTTTTTTTTTTTTTTTTTTTTCAAACTATTTCTGGCTTTTTGCTGTTACAGAATTCGTTGGGATAATTTTTCTTTAGTATTTTTGACATTGCAGCATGGAAAGTTTAAAAGGATTTGAAGCCAAGATTTATAGACCCACGATACTAGAAGATTCAAGAAATATGTGACAAAATGAAAAATGTCTCCATGGTATCAACATGTAATAGATACATTTTACAGAAAGTTTGTGATGAATTTCTTACTTTTTGGAGAACGTCTGGAAGAACAATGGAAACATAATATTTAAATGTTTTACTTCTGATACCAGAATCTTTTTTCTTAACATGTTTATCTTCCCTTTATTTTCTCTACTTTTCACTAGACAAAAGCTTGGAAAATATCAAAAATGCTTCTAATCTTATCACTTTGGCAGGCATTATAGAAAGAGATTTTTTTATTAATAAAAAAATTGAAAACTTACAATTTAAAAGATTCATCTAATGTGTCTAAATGCATCATACACAGAGCTGGTGCTATGCATTTTCCCACCTGATACAATCTCTGTGTATCCTAAATTCTGCTGCCTAGTGCCTATCTAAATTCTGCTTCCAATGCCTGCTCTAAATTCTAAAAGTTTTGCCATTTCTAGATTTTGTTGTTCTGTGTATCACTAAATTCTAAAAATTCTGCCACACCTCCTCTGTAACCGGCCTTTACCATATATATTTCATATTACTAAAGAAATAAAATTAGCCTCTTTTTCTATACATTCTAAATGCATTTAGTGTTTTTTAGAATAATACAAATCCTTAATTAAATCCAAAAATTCTTAAATTAAAAGGAAACACGTTGAAAAAAGAAACCGAATACACAAAGAAAATTATTCTTCAAATATATGTGCAGTTATTATTATGTAAATTACCCAATTGTTTATCATTTCAGCCTTTACTATAACTTTCCATTTCTGTTTCCTCATATGATGAGTTACTGAGCCAGATTAAATTAAAATTAAATTGTATTATCTTTGACCACTAGTCCACATTTTTAGTTTGAATTTGACTGTTCTTGTTTAATTATGTCACCGTGAGCTGTAATTGACTTTGTGCCTTTATGTTCTAAGTTCCTTGTCTGATATTGTAGTTACTTTCAGATACAGTGATAATTTGCTTCACATCTGTCGGGGGTGGGACTATTTAACTTTAACCAGATGAAGTAAACCTTCATAGGTACATTGTGGAGAGGTTGACAAGTTAGGAGATAAAGCACACAGAAACTAGCGAGAACATTGGTTTGCATAGAAACAAATTTCTAATTATTGTCAGAAAAGATCGATAATTAAAGAGAAGAAAATCGATATAAACTAACCAAAATGTTTGGGAAGGCCTTGTAGAGACATTAAGTATTTTTGAAAGCAGGAACGATAGAAAATTAACAACGTCTTCGCCGGGAATCTAAACGCGAACCTCTGGAATACTGCTAGCAGTGTGCAAACCACTACACCACAAAGGGTCACCAAGAAGGTGGGAGAAATACCTTATATACTCCCCCTTTTAAACGGCGACTGGGGTTTTTAGGGAATCCAGTCGCCAAATCCTTTGTGTGGAGAACCCATCAAGTAACCATCAACACCATCAAGTAAAACTTATTCTTTGCATCTACTGAGACTTATATATAAAACAACTTATCACCTCTGGCACTTTAATGGCTTATTGGAACCTTAAAGTACGTATATTAACTGGGTTACAACCCCTAGAACTCTACATAAAGCTATGAAATTAACTGCATTAAGCAGAGCTTGACTAACTTTTCAACACTTACCAATTGTGCCTACATCAGGCCTTTCAGGTTTGTTCCAATCAGCAGGTCTCTCTATAGACAACATTCAGTCTTTTGTTATGAATCATGCTGATTATGATCTCACTTCTCATTTTAACCTATGCCATTTGACATAAAATCTCCCTACTATTTTTAAACCTCTATACTGACCAAGTATGTGACAAAATGAGACATTAAAGAAAAAAAAAAAAAAAAACGTAAAGCTAACTATTAGTAAAACGTAAATGTCACTTATCTTCTTTTAAATATGTCCAACTATTATAAGTGTAAAATATTTAATGCTATTTGATAAACTGCATGAAATTTATTTTATTCTCAAACCTATTAATAATTATGTTAGTTAATTCTAGTAATAATGCATACTACTTAGGGATCTATTTTATTTTTGGGATGGTATTACAAAAGTGAAATATTTATAGAATAATATTTTTAATTGAATTTATTCAGTTTCCATTTGCTCATAGGTCCTTAATTTTTTTCATTAATGGTCCTTAAAAGTACTTAATTTTCGTGTGCAGAAATGTGTACGAACCCTGATGTACTATTAGCACACTGTTGTTCTTTACTTTTATTTGTTTATTTTTATATGGA